TTACCTTTTTTGAAGTTAATACTTTCTCATGAATATATTCTCTATATTTTTCATTAATTCGGAAAAATGTGAAGTATTATTCCTTGGAATGAAATTTTAATGTAATTTCATATGTAATTTCTTTCGAAAATTACGTGTATATAAATTTTTATAATATTTGCAGTGACAAAAATTAATTTTGTTATTAAATACAGGATTGCATTTCCTGAAACTTCCTCGCGATAAGGAAATATTTTATCTTTGGCATATAAAAATTAATATTAATGATAATATAAATGATATAAATGATAAGAATTATTATACTTAATATTACATATGACGATAGGTATACTTAAAATATAAAGAATCAATCGTTAAAAATAGAAATATTTGAAAAAGTTTTATATACATTAATCTAATGCAATTTCAAAATCAAATAATCTCTGTTAAATTTCACTCTGTGTTGCACTAACTCGTTAAAGTCATGTTCGAGATAAATATTTTCGATTTCCTTCGAGGCTTTCATCGAGGGTTGATACTATTACGTTATTTCCAAAATAAACATATCAATGCGAAACACACGCAACCTCTGTTTCAATCAAATCTCTCTGTCTTTCCACCGCATACATTCCATCCTTCCTCCGTGACTTCTTCTCGAAACAACGATCCGTCTTGCAATATTAGCAACAACGCGCCAATCAGCTTAAATTGGCTGATGCATCGATTTGCATACATTGATTTACCTTCGTTTCCACCACTGGATTTACATTGAATCGCTTCTAAACCTATCCCTCTTGATTTCAACTACGAGATATCTCCTCTTATACAATGTGTAACAGTACCATGCGCAGATTATGATCCTCGAAGGTTGCGGAAGTGCTATGGGAGAGAAATAAAAATTTCGTTTCACGTGGTGCACGGTATCTTTCATAACAGTGGAATTTTTCTTATCGCTTTTTTTTCTTCTCGTTATCCTTCGAAATTTTTCGTGATTAAATTTTATATATATTGATAATTTTCATGGATTGAAAATCAAGAAGTATTATACGCATGATGATGATAATAAACTAAGAAAAATCTAGAGAAATATCAATCTTCGTGATCTTCGTCAGGGAAATACTATTATTTTATCGATTTCTATATGAAATAATCTGAAAGAATTATATGAAAGAATTATATGAAAGAAAATAATATGAAAGAATTATTATAGAAATTAATCTAAAAAATAAAATTTGATTTTAGATTATTGATTTCATAATTTTTCAAAGAAATTTATGTTAAAGATATAAGTGGGCAATTAAATTATTAATATTTTATTAATATTAATATTTAATAATAGTTTATCTACTTTGTCCTTGAATGTTTAAGCAATAATTGCAAAATATTTTTCGAACAAATATAAAAAAATAGCTGAATATTTTGTTTCGAATGCTAAAAGAAAAATAAAAAATTTAATGCGCTTCCAATTATTGCCAAAAATATGTATGTTTCTTTTTTCATGAATAATATCTTTTTTTCTTTTAAAAAAAAAGAAACAAATTTAAAAAATCATTTAAAATTTTTCTTTCAAACAAAAATACGTTTTAAAATAAAATCGATGATATTGAGGATATTAAACGATACCAGGAAAGTTAAAAGTTTGTGAACAATTGTATCGAGGATTATAATAGTAAAGAGAAAGCATCATTTTACAGTTAGTAAGTTTAAAGGAGTGGTCGTCAAAGAATACCATTATTGAATCTAGTAAAGGAAAAAAGAGATAAAAGATTTCAGTCAAGGGGAAAATGTTTTAATTGGGCAGAAGAACAATGGCGTGAAGCGTTGTATACTGACGGGTTAAAATGAGTCATATCCATATACAAGGTGAGACATCTGTCACGACTAAGAAGTGTGAGAAGTTTTTAATCAGTTCTATAGAAACTTTATATGAAATAGGATAAGTTTTTATTTTTTATCATCGTATTACTCTTTTTTCCAATTTTCAAAAATATCCAAGCAATTACTTTATTAGAAAAAGTAACAATTAAATCGAACAATTAGATCTTACAATGTTAAGATACTATAATATAGATTTCTCAAGAAATTTATTATCACACCTTATTTAAAACACAGGAAACAATATTTCACAGTTGATGGCAACACGTTCTGATACATATCTCCAAGCCCATTCAAATTATAATCCTACAAAATTTGAACAATAACACTTCTTTAAGTGCATTGACCTTTCAAATCTCCGTTATCCTTTTGTTTCATCCGATGCACTTTTCCTCAATGATACGTCTCCTTCGATATGCTTTCAATTCAATATTTTATTTACATCATATAATAAATTGCATCGGATTAAGTTACAAAGCTGGTTGATTCATCGTATACCCGACCACCGATGTGCGAAACAAGATACATCGGTGAGATTTTACAAATAGAACGAGACACGAAACAGCCATTTCGTCCCGAGAACGTTAATTGTACCGTTGCTTTGAACGAGGCCTGAGACGTGCCCACGATGCGGAGCGAACAACTGGTCATTTCTCTCTTCATTTCAGATACATACATACGCTCTTCGTGTACTTTTCCTTTTTTTTTTCCTCTCTCCTCTCTCTCTTTTTTTTTTTTTATTTTTATTATTGTTCACGATCTCGGTAAACGAGAAACAAATATCTCGATATCTTTCGTCGCAATAAGATGGCACAGGTCAATTGAGAAGTGGTAATAGACGATAAATTGAAATTAACGTCTGCGCTCTTGGCCGTGCTTCAATGTTGCTTCAATGTTGCACACGAACGTAGAAATAGAGCCGGATTAACGCAAAGTCGTTTCTTTATCTCCCGTGACTTTGTTTGCAGTTTCAGATAATATTTCGAGCTTCGTTCGAGAGATATAACGGTCGGTTAAAAAATTATTGTCAATAAAAATGAAATGAATCATATATTTGCAAATATTTGTATACTTGTGCACGAGGTGTTTGAAAAAATAGAAAAAAAAAGTGAATAAATAGTATAAAAAAAAATTGTTTTTCTTTGGAGGGAAGAATTATCGTATCCAATTTATTGAACGGGTAAATTTTGTTAATAAGAGATTATTGTAATTTTTTGTTTTTATTTTTTGAAACATATTATTATTTTATGAAACATAATGAAATACAAAATTTTACACAAATTTTTTTTTTTAATATATTATAGGAGATTATATATTTTATGTGTTTTTTAATGTTACTCCTTTTATTTAAGTAATAATAAAATGTGGAATATTCCGTGAAACTTGGAATTGATCGAACGTATCAAACATTGTATACATTCTATAAGAAAAGTTTTCATATTAGTTCAAGTTTTAAACTATCCTTGACCCCTTGTTCATTATTTAAGTTTTTATTCGAATATGCATTCGTGTTAATAAATGTTTAAAAAGAGTATATTAAATTTCGAAAGATCAAAGGACATCATATTTTCTGTTTTCATAATATAATTAATTATGATGTAAAAGTGCGTATAATTATATTTTATTGCGTCGCATGATGAAATATATCGAATTTCTGAAAACCGTTTATCTTCATCGAATTTTGCGAAGTCAGTTATATCTTTCATTTTAACTAGCAGTAAGTGGTTTCAGACGATCAAAGTTAAACACATATCGCTAAAGGTTTCTATTTCACATGTTCATTCAAACACACGTGTATCAAAACATGATGGGAGCCGAGATTTAAACCCTGTAATTTTCATTACATTTGTGCATTTCTATTATATGTGTACACGTGTATTACAAAGGTATTCTGATGATATAAAGATATAAAAGAAATACAAGGTACCTCACGTGATATTTACTTTTTGAATGATTCTGAAATAATCCAGGTCTTTCTGGAAACTTTTCAAAATTTTGTATTCCTATTTATCTCTATCAATATTGAATCATGTAAATTAAACAAAAGAAAAGAAAAATTGAAAATTATTCAATTAATATGATCAGGATAAGATATAATTTGTAAACTGTGTAAAATATCCAATAATAACAATGAAGGAATCAATTTGTAGATACAATTATTTGTATCGATTCAAAAAATCTGAGAAAAAATATATGAATCGCAATATCAATAAACAATCAAAATAAAGGAAAAAACTTTTTTTTTATAAACATTTACACAAGTGTGTCATTTATGAATTGACGCAAATCGTACATTCTCAAATTACGTTGTTTCATATTCTTTATCGTACATGAATTTTTTATTCTATCATTGTATTGATTCAACTAAATAATTTAGTTATTAGCAAAATGTAGCGATAAAAGAATAAACTTATTTTATATTAAAATAAAAAGAAAAAATTACTAAACTTACATTTATTAAATATTTGTATGCAATTAGTACATCTTACAAGATTTTTGTATAACCCATGTACAAATAATTTCCAAAAATAAATCTTACTAATAATTACAATTATTAATAAAAGTAATCATGCATTGAATATCAATACAAAGAAATATCGAATGAGCATAGATCCTAACCAATATATCTTTCCATAAAAATTTAAATTATTAAAAAGATATTACTCATTATTTTTTTTACATACATTTAATTCCTCAATAAGGGACAACTATGAATCAACTATGAATCAACAAATTCATCAAGAAATTACTCATATTCTTCATAATTTAATCCGATCTCGTTACACCTCCCATTCCCCACCGCCAATTCACCACCTGACGTCACAAAATCTCCTTCAAGAAGATCACTTAACAACAATAACACAACTTTTTCATGAAAACCGCGCAGTTACACATAATTCTATCAACAAACGTACGTTACGCGTCTCATCGGCGAACGAAATTCGACGAATCCAGATGAAATCTAGAAAAAAGAAGAAATGACTCGTTCATGAAGTGTATCGCGACGTTCAAGAACCGGGTTCCCCACGCACCGAATGAAAGCAACGTCTGCGCTCGCATCAATGACACGCGCTATACTCTCGCCGCTATACTCTCGGCCCGGTAAAACTGGCCGCCGCGGGTTAGACAGCGTGCAGAAGCGAGAATCGCGTCAGTCCGCGGCGAGTTCTCCGTGTGGGAGCTGCGCTCTCTTGGTGTCGTCGTGGGGGTTGTTTGCGATCGAACGCGCACAGATCGATCTCCGGTTTCACAGAGGAGCAGCGAAAGCTTGTATCGCGTAAACGACGAGTGAATTGATCTTCAGTTTTGTGAAAGGAACAGTGAAAATAAAGAACCGTCAAGACGCAGCGTGTCGATAGCCACATTCAGTCCAGAGGTAAGTGCCGGACATTGTTTCTGCCTCTCACGAACCTCGTTCAGAGTACTCATGACAGAAACTCGATCTCGAATTTAATTTAACTTTTTGCGTATCGTTGATCGCATCTTTTATACGTGAATTACATCGAAGATTTTCTAGTTGGTAATGTTGTATGGTAATTTTATGAGAGATGCGGTAGATTCTCATGCGAAAAATATTTTGGTCGCTGTATATGTATTTTATTTTACTTATTGATATCTGTTGAAAATATATTTTTTTTTATAATTTTTTTATAGAGAAACTTCTGTAAGATACGACTGCTTGATTATATTTGAATGTTAGAGTTAATATTTAGTTAAATATATAGTTATTTAAAATTATGATCACTTTTGATCAATTATATATATAATATATTTAAATAATATGTGAATGTATTACTTAAGGTGATACATTTGATCTAAATTATATTATTTCCTATTCGATTTAAACCTATTTAATTTATTTCATTTTACTTAAGACGTGAAAAATTCATTGTTAAGAAAGTTCATGGAAACATTAAAATGAACAATTCTCACGAAACAAACGATTGAACAATGACGGTCCATCTATTGAAAACACTTTCTAAAAAGGCAAAGCTATTTATACGTTTACTAATAATCGTTTCCCTAGATGACGAGACAGATAAGAAAAATAATTAATAATCGTAATCGCGATAAAACGGATCGATATAGGAAAAATTGATTTATATTATCAGTCATTGATCCGGATACGGGTAAATCGATCGTTTTAAACAGGAATTAAGAATATCATCGACATGTATCGCCATGGTAAACAGGGACGCACGCTTGAAAGTGGTCAGACAGGATTTTCATGGTGGAATGATTTTTCGCCGATGTTGCCAATTACCACGATACACACAATGTATCTGGGAATCGTGGTAATTTATTTTACGAATTAATGAAATACACGATATCGTCAAACCTGTGTCATTATTTGTGCTGCAATTAAAATAAAAAAAAAAAAATTTTTTTTACGTCGAAGAATATTTCAATGAATAACGTATAAAAAAATGGGAAACATTTCTGATTCCGAGGGCGTGAATCGATGCAATATGAATGCGCGATCGTGATTGGTCGTAGACACGGAAATATTTTAATTGCAAAACGGCTAATTAGCAATCTTGAGCATATTTTTTTCATATATACCTCGTTTTTACCGTTTTTCCAATGGTGATAAATAAGTTGCTCGTAAATATTATCGTTTCTTTTTTCTTTTTTCTTGTAGAAACTATTTATCTGTCTATCTTAAAAATTATTATTAACATGGTTACATACGTTTGATTGAATACACGTGATTATTGGCGCATCTCTTGGTCACGTGTCTTTAATTGGGAATATATCACGAGTATGACGCATCTTTGATTTTATTGAATAAAAAAAAAAAGAGGAAAAAAGAGAACGGAGGAAGATGCAGAAAAAATAGATAGTTTCAATAGAAACTAGAGAAGTTCTAAAGATGAAACTTCAAGTTTTAGAATGTGATTGGAAACGTGACTATCATATAACTCGATTTCTGAGAAGTTGGATAAATTGTCTGCAAATTTGCATCACTTTCTATTTCTTGCTTTCTTTTCTTGTTATTACACTAGCCTAGTATTTAATTTTCTTGTTACGAATTATTATTATTTTAAAAAATCATCAAGCTCTGATATTAAAACTATGTTTAACAAAATTTATAGAATTTGTGAAATTTATAGATAAATTTATATAGAAATAATGTCTATTTGAAATATTTATCAATTTATGAAGAGCGATGTGATTAAAATAATAATATCTATATGTAGTTCAATATTTTAAAATATATTATTGTTCCGTTTTTGAGATCTTAATTGTCGAAGAGATTATCCTTTGTTATTGTCGTTCTGTAATCCTATGTTGATAACATTTGGAGTATTCCAAGAAATTTATGAAACACGTTCGTGCTTGTTGTGTTTACAAATTCAAATGTGAAAGTCAGGAAAAGCGTTTATCTATTCAAATTCTATTTGTAATATTAACTTAAATTGTTAGGAGAATATCTGATATTTATTGCGAATATTGATTCCTTTTTTCATATAACTTTTTATCAAAAATATTTTATAGTTAGGTTCGTTATTTTCATAATTCTATATTCATAACAATTATAATTCTAAATTTCAATTTGTCATATAACATATGATATATAACAATTATAATTCTAAATTTCAACTTGTCATTATTTCATTGATAAGTATTACTATCATAAAATAGAGCTTGATAACAAATTTTTCAATATCATTACATAAAACCACATTATATTTTTGAATCATCGAGAAATATATAAAAAATGAAAAGAACTTTGTTTTAAAAATAAATATATCATTTTACTGTTGAGAAACATGTAAAGAAAACAGTAATAGTTGGTTATTTCATAATTAATTCGGTATTGTGGGTCTAAAACACGTGATAATTGTAGTAAATTTTATATTTTTATTAACGATAAATCAGAGAGCACGCTTCGAAATTGCGAAAGAAAATTAGAATTAGTACGATAATTTAATTAAATCGACAAATAGTATGGACGATAAGTGCATGATAATAAGATGAAAATTATATTCTTCTACAGTTGATTAGTATATACTTGCAATATCTTTGATAATTTTAATATTGCAATTGCTAATTATTATAATTATAATATGTAACAATGTTTTTAAATAATGATCATTTCCTTTTGATAGATTTTAGTTTTTAATTATTTCTAATCTTACTTTTATCTTATTAATTATTCATTATTGCTATTTATTATTTCCTGTAGAATTTTCTCAAGCTTATAGTATAATAACATCTACATATTTGATATATTTATCAATTCAAAAATTTTGAATTTATCCTGTTCTTAATTGCAAATATTTTGCAATTAATACTTATAAGAAGAAAAATCAAAATGAAAAATCAGATATGTAGAAGTAAGAATTATTCACGATTGATGCAGAATCGCCATTCACTATTTCACAATTTCTATATCGTTGTACGAGATCTTCGGATATAACATGTCAATAATACATGCTTTTAACCATATGCATTGGTTAAAAATAAGAACTATGTGCTTGATGTTAGAAAACATGTTCATTTTATTAATCTTTTTGATGATCAATATTTTAACTTATATTAAATTATAACTTTTCAAATATCCTTTAATATTATAAAGATGAAAATATTTAAAATGGAAATTTTAAATATTGCACATTTTTAAAATAATTTTTTTTTTTTAAACTTGTACAATTCTTATAGTCTATGAGTTACAATTCTTAAAAGAATCAATATGCTTATTATTAAAATTATTTTTATAAAAAATTTCATTGTGATAATTATATGAAAATATAATAAATAAGATATAATTAAATAATTAATCATTTTAAGTTAAATTATTTTAATAAATTTTTTCATTAGTGCGTGCTGAAATGAAACAGATAGCAAGAATAGTAAAGGATCGATAGTAAAGCAGTATCGAATTTAACAACCTCGGCAACTAAGGTTTGTTTGATAGCCAACACTTTCGTTTGTATAAATATATGAACGGTTTACGTTTAGTTTGAGTCTATAATTTCAAAGTTATGTACATATGTATAGATTGTCATTATTTATCAAATACTATAGCAGGTATATTCGATATCATTTCTGAAATATTAACAAAATTTAAAAATAATGATGAAATAATCATAGATAGAAAAATTAATTTAATCTTACATTGAATTTAAAATGAAGACAATAATTTTTTAAATTTTTTCATTTTTTTTTTAAATATTATTAATAATAAAAAGAATTAGTCTCGACAAATGTAAATTAATGCATATTCCATATTTAATATTCAAAAATTAATTATTACATAAATGTGTATTGAACATTTTAAATATTAAAAGTTAAAAAATTTCAAAATAATATATTTAAAATATTGTTTACTCATTTAATTAATAATTATGTTTCATAATTGAAATATTGACAACAATTGATTGTCATATTGTAAATTAGATAAGATTATATTCATCATTTAAAATTAGGTTAAATAATGACAATATTAAAAATTCCAAGACAATATTTGCTCTTTATTATAACTCAAATTTGTTCAACTTGTTTTGAAGAAATCAGACAAAAATTTGTCAAAAAATCTCATCTCAACAATTTGCATTCAAATTTTTATTTATTCAAAAAACAAAGAATGTTTATTTTATTTGTTCTCTTTTTTTCTTTTGTTTTCTTTCTTAAGGCTTCTTTCTATTTTTATTTCCATAAAAAGAAGCCTTAAATATATATTTCGCGTTGACGAAAATCATCTTGAAAGAAATACAATATCTAAATACGACTGAAAAAATGTCTTTAACAGAAATTTCCATTTCAAGATAAGCAATTGTTGTTTTTTGACGCGACAGAGTTGAAATTCTTTGTCGCCAAATAATCGATTTAAATAATATTTCTCTTCGTTTTTTTTTGTTTTATTGTTGGCTTGGATAGAAACAAAACATATCGCATTGATATTATTTATAATTATTAAAATAAATACTATATAATTGTGAGTAATATAGGTCAATCGTGTAAAATTTGATATTGTATGGTATTATATAATTGTATAAAATTTTGTTATAATCTTTAAATCTTAATCTAAGATACATATTACGATAAATACGTTAATTTGCATAACAAGAAAAAAATGACCTTACTTGAGTTAAAACAGAAATGAAGTAATTTCTATTCAATCAGGGTTTGAGCTATTCACCAATGAATTAACGTGCACGTATGCTGCTTAAAATAATTAGAGAATCATCCGCTCATGTGACTTCATCGCTCAATAAAGTGTCTGCCAATGTCACATCTTTAATGTGAAATAAATCAACCGCATAATAAAAATTTTATTTTTTAATATTTTGTTTATTCTTAGCTAAAGATCAAATCCTTCCAATTCTTTTATCAACGCATGTGAAACATTTTTTGCGTTATTATATGTAA